TCTTCTCCAGTTAGTGATATTGAGAGAGGTTTTGTAACCGAAAGCTTTAGAACCAGGGATATATGTAATTGAAGGTTTGAAATATGACTTTAACTTCCAGCTGTGCAAATGATTATACAGAAGTAAACCTAATATAGAGATAAGAAGTAGAGTTTGAAAATAGTGCAAAGGTCCACTTAAAATTTCACAATGAACTGAAAGGATAATTTTGAAGGAAATCCTAAAGTGTTTCAGGATTTTAATACTATATGAAATAAATTGGCATTAAAGTGGAAAGAAGACAGATTAAACAGGATTACTATCAGGCACTGGGTTGAAGTTACTGTGATTTGATGTGAAAATTGTAAGGAGAGGAAATAATGATGTTATGAATTCTGCACAGTTGTGAATATAGAAATCACATTCACACTGCAAATGGAATGCAAGGAAATCCAGTGCCCATGAAGTTTGCTGATTTTACTGGGGTCTCGCTAGCTAGCACCGCCTCTTTGAGATTTTGCTTCCACACACATATACTCAGTATTGGAGGAGGCATCATAAAAGATATAGTGTCCGATTCAAATTGTAGCCTGATATAGGCCGATACTTTAAAAAACTTGCTTGAGTATGAGCCTAACACTCAAGGGGCTAATACTCAAAATGAGGACCTCAACGAATGAAAATTATATCTGGATTAATCCTTTCTGAATTAATTTTAATTCTCTCATGATCAATTACAAAGGTCAATGACAAGTTGTGAGAAACCACCAAGACATTCCCATGTGATCAAACCGATTTAGAGATGATGGATTTGGGATCATGCAGGCTGTTACAAAACTCAGTGGACACAAAAATCTTCTGCAAGAGAGAAGAGACATAGTTTTTACACTCAGCATGCCTCATCCTATGCTGGTCTTCAGCCATATGCTCTCAGTCAAAAACCTGGCCAGAAAGCACAAATAAATGGGGACTCTCAAACTATGGTAAAATTGTAAACCTTAAAGCACATTTTGAATCACCTTTGAAATCACAGTTTGAAATGGCACATAAATCCATTTTCAGTGTTCACATTTTTTTATAGAGATTTATTTGTACTTTGAAGAATGCATACATTCAAAAAAAATGATCTTAGCATATCATTAATCTTAAAACTAAGCAGCTTACAATATCATAAGAAATGTATAAGAACTTCAAAGGTCCTCTTCAAACTAATGGATATCTATGTCTCCTCAATTGAAGATCAAATACTAAAATTCAAATTCTAGATAGACATTTAACTAACTTTGTAGGAATAGAACAAGTTCAATAATATATTTGATAAGGAAAAACATTTAAATATAAGTATTGCGATTGATTTTTGTTTTAAAGTGAGAAATAATCACATGTCTCACTTCCTACCATATACTTGGTCAAAATATTAGGCTAATATATTCTTAGCACAGCAAATAAATGATTGAATTCATGCAAGACACATTGGAAAAACCATATCATAATCTAAATTTTTATTCTGGGCAGAAAGTTAAAATTTATTACTGAATACTGATTACACATTTTCTCTCCTGATATTCAAAAATAATGAATTAACATTATGGTTATCAATATTTTTCTAAGTTAAAAACTTCACAAAATTATATATCCTTTGGTATTTCTTTCTGATGATTTGTTTATATATATTTGGTACAAATTTAACATTTTGTACTTAGAAAACAATTCAATGTATTGATCTGTTTTTTGAAATTTAATGAGCCAAAATCAGTGCCTCACTGGACCAGGCACAAGAATGACAGAAAAGTAGATTGTGTCTATCTAACAATGTGCGATAAAAATTATGGAGGTAGATCTTTAATACTGCATTGCACTACTCCTGTGTAATTTCATACTCACATTCCAATAACATTTGGCAAGGTAAAGAGCTAATTATTATAACACTAGAAAATCATGACTTTCTCTTAAACTGACTTCCTGTTATGGTGGTTCTTCGATTTTATGGCATATGGAGAAGTGGACATATGACATTTGTGAGTACCTCATTCATCAAATCCCATGTACACTGCAAAGCTTCTCAAGATTCCAAATGTACTTAGCATGTCAATCAAAGTTCAAATTTAAATGATCCTATGAGCAAATTTATTTAGAATTAATAGCTCCCTGGTAAAGCCCCAGAGGAAAAGGCAAATGAAGACTCATTCTGTTGAAACCTAGACTTTTCCTCTAGTAAGGAGAACAAACAAACCACATGAATGTGAATAACTTTTCAAAATGTTGTTACCATTTGCCAAACACATAGTCAACGTTCATAGAAACAAGACATGATACTTGAAAAAATTGCAAGACAGGTTCTCCATGAACTTTTCAAGGCTGGAATTAATATTATTGCCCAACTCAGCACTTTGCTGATCTTAGAAAGATCTATTCCCTCTTTATGCTCTTTCCTGTCTTAATAAACTTATGGTAAAAAGATAAACAACATTTTGTGATCAAAAATATAGCAGTTGCTACGCAGGCCAGCAGGAACCCAATCACATCCAAAGAGTGGTACTGGAACCAGGAGAGGTCGTGGGCTGCAACCCGCAGGTGCTTGGCTCCCTTGTGGCGCATGACAAACTCGATCCAGAAGACTGCTCGGTCCAGGGGCTTCATTGGCTGGTCATGGTGAATGCTTGATAACCTCATGGCATTCTCTTTATAACTGCATGAAAAAAGTAAAAAACAATAACTGTTTAACTTAATGTAACTATGAGACTTTTGTTATTATAGGAGTCAAAGATCAAACACAGATTCTGGAAACATTTAATAAATGCAGTAGCTTTGTTAAAGTGCTTAGAACTTTCAGGATTGTAAACAGAATGGGTGGAAAAAAATACATTCTTAACACCATGTGTCAAATACACACAAAAGAAAATAAATAATGTTCTATTGTACATGTATGGCTTAATTGTCTTGTGAAAAGTTTGATATCATTTGAACTCTAGTATTGAGAACTGTTTTAAGACCACAATGGTGAATGATTCAGATAATTCAGAATTACGGAATAATTTATTAAAAAAACAGAAGTCATGGCAACTAACATCTGACTAGTTTGCTTTACAGAAAGAGCCAAATGATAATGAATATTAATGAGTCATTTTTTACTGTTCTAAGTGTGCCTTTGCATATGTTTTTATATTTATGATAAAAAACCATATATCTCTACACCAGATAATCACTGAATGAAAATGCTAGGTTAATTCACAAAAGGAAATATCCAAATACATTCACTTTTAGTTGATAAAAGGAAATTTAAAAAATCTTTCCAAATTTATACTCCCTAACAATTAGAAAATGTTGCTACACTATTGATAGAGTTCAGGTCTTTATTTCTCATACAACACTGGGGAGAAGTCTATGGGATTAAGAGCAAGATATATTTACACTTCAAATTTCCTGGTAATTTCAGTAAATTAATAGGTTTGACTTTTGTTTGTGACTCGAGTTAAAATACCTACTGGATTCATTGAGATAAGAGAAGGTAAGTGGTTCGGGAAGAGCTGTCCTGGTGTTGGCTGTACATTGTGAGGAATGAGAGAAGGAAATAAGGTCTGAGTTTGCAAATGTTTGTGGAGCAATAGATCTACAGCCAGGGAATATTTCACTATCCTTTTCCTTGGGCATAGTGAGAAAAATAGGTGTCCTATTTCTCAACTGTACTGAAACATAGGTAAAGTCCAACAATAATATTACTTCATTTTCCTTATGCATGTCAGGCAACCTAATTTGGCAATGGAAGCCTTTTTCCACAAAATTGGAGTTTGGTTCAAGATTTTCCCAATATACATATACACTATTTACAATCATTTCTCTATTTAAATTTGAAGTATATGTATATTTGACAAATATTTCAGAGCATGTAAATACAAATAAAAATAGGCTATGCCTTTAAAATAACATATATGCCTCCATACATACCTTCCACAGAAACTTTGTATATCCAAATAATTTTTGAGGTAGTATAATGTCTACAGTCAATAGAAAGCTTTTTCAAGGAATTTTTCATGTTTACTTACAAATCTTAAGTACTTACAGTTATTTTTCTTCATCAATATTTTTAAAATAAATAATATAAATTAAAGAATATTTAATGCATGAGTTGAAAGAATCATGGAATTTATCTATTTTCACATCCAACAAAATAAACCTGGTAATTAATACAACAACTTCACAACCAAGATCAATTTCTGAAAATCAAAGACCATACTGAGAATTACTGAATCTCCCAATTAGAGTCCCCTGTAGAGTAAAAATTTCTGTATTATTACAAAATATATAACAATTATTAAGAAATGACTATTATTTTAATAGAGTACTAAGTAACACTGCTAAAAATCGAGTTTTAATAGTTATTTTGGAATGATCACCACTGAGCACATTATAAATTTCATATTTTATTTACTGATTTTTTAACACATAAATACTTTTTATAATATTAAACAGATTGTTCAGAAAATAGTATAAAATTGGATATAATTAAATTAGTATTTGAGGACTGTTTTTAGTGTTTTTTTTTTAATATGGCCTCTCAAACCATAATGGCATGTCAGAAACTATAGTTAAATATGTGCTTCTGTAGCAGTCATATTGCACCACTGTTGTATTATTTGTAAGTAACCCAGTTAGAAGGTTTGCAACGATCCAAATTTTCCTGTAGGATGCAAAGCATAGTCAACAGAAGTCAGCCGTCACATGCAGCAGTACTTACGAAGGGTCGTTGATGACTGCTCTCAAGGCACCCAGCAGGTCTGCAGTTGTCATTGTGTGCATGTTGACCTGCACAGCTGCTCCTTTGGCCTTCATGTGAGCAACGTTGTCATACTGATCTCCAAATAGGGGGACTCCCACCATGGGGACCCCGTGATAAATAGCTTCATAGATCCCATTGGTTCCACCATGAGTGATGAAAGCTTTGGTTTTGGGGTGGCCTGGTTTAGGGATAGTTGTACATTGGAAAATGGATAAACACATAACAAGATAGAAGAATTTCAGAGAGAGAAAAGAGGAAAGGAACTCCATAACTCAATGGACGAAGTGATATTTTGTACAAAAGCTGAGCACCCTGTTACCCTGGTAAAGTGTGATCCCGGTAGGAGCAGAACTTAACTCCTTTCTCTCTGTAAAGGAGGCCTGACTAACAGTGATGACATATGATTGAAGCTCCCAGGCTGATGAGCTTCTCAACAGAAGATGCTCTTATGTGAATCAAAGAAACAATGTATCAATAAAATTAATGGATAATTACATCTCTTTTAAAACTGGATATCAGAGGTGCAGTGTTCAAGGTGTCAAACATTTTTAATACATTTACTCTGAGAAAGTTACTGAAATTTTCTGTTGTCCAAATGCAGAGCTCTTCTCCTCTAGGGTCTTACCAAGAAGGTCGTTCTGGGGAATCCAATCAAACAGCCGAGTATTGGGTCCTAACGTGGTCGGCTCCTTTCCTTTGTATCTCCATAAAACCTGTGGAGGACAGGGCTGTCACTTTGCAAGTAAGAATAGAAAATGTGTCTGTGCTAATGCTGTAGAATTATTCAGAAATCACATGGCCATCACCCTTCAGGTGATAATTGAGAGGAGGATATATCCACTTGTTTGAAAAGGTGGTAATAATAGTCTACTATGAACAATATTAGTATTTTGATACATATATATTATGAGTACACATTTATTATTTTGATATCAATCATTTAAAAGCTGTTAGGAGTGAGGTCATTAGTGTGAAGCAGAAAATAAAAAAGAGTGATGCAGCATACGGGGATTTAAAACAGGTTGACATATATGTATGATAAACAATTATTTATGAAATGTAATTTAGGCATTTTCAGTCTCAAATGTAATGTTTGACCAAAATTTTTAAGTTTAGATTCTGTGACATTTTATACCTATTTCTTCTTTGCATCATCTATTTCTCTTTCTTTCCTTCTTCTATTTCTATCTTCCTGCATCCCTGCCTCCTTCCTTTCCTCTCTCCATTATGTCTCTGTTTTTCTCTCTTTTTTTCTTTCCTGCCTTGTTCCTTCCTTTCTTAATTAATGACTTCCTTGCCTTCTGTATATCTCCTCCCTTTTTCTTAGCAGGGCAGAATTAGGTACTTTGCTTGCACTTCATTTTAGGCACTTTGTTTATACTCCATTTTAATAAGGAATTTCCTCAAATTCTAGTGATTGTTTTCATAGACTGTTTTCTTTGGGAAGTAAGGCAACCTTGTGATTCAGTACTAAAAGGCAGAAAGCTTTAAAATAATAAGTATACAAATGAATGTCCTCAATGTAAACAAATTCAGAATTCTTGCCTCTATAAAATGTATGGAATTTAAAACATATATTAAAAAAATGAGTCTTAGAATATAAGTTCAGGTTAACGAAGTAGCATAAAGTAGAAAAACTACATGAATTGACAATTGTGTTAGAATTTCAACTTTTTAACCTCAGAGTATTCAATTCTGAATGAATAAGTAAATCTAGATTTCTACTTTACCAGCAATTTTGACTTTGATAGAACATAAAATTCAGAAATTGAGAGTATACTTCCAAGCATTTTACCTCTCTTCAATGTATAATTTCTTTCCTATTCTGGACCACAACAGTAATGTTTTTTAGGAAAGTTTGCATGCGTTAGTGCCAGTCAAAATATTTAGAATGGCCTAATATTTTCATCTCTATTCCATTACACACAAGTGATCACAAAGTCTGTTTCCTCAGTAACACCAACGTCACAATGATTAATGTGGCAAACGATGACATGTGACTAAACTGTGCAGTTAATGATATTCACAGTCGCACCTAAAGCTTGCACCAGTTATGCTCCATGTGCAGGGAATTTACCTTCTTCCAGGAAAGAGTACAATTTCTTGCTTTCTCTCCAGCTCCTGTAAAGCTGCTCAGCAGAACCAGAGGGCATACTGACCTTCTGTGGAATCTGGGCGAAGGCTGAGGCAATGAGGTTGGCTTTTTCCTCTGTGAGATTTTTCACCATCGACCCCAGAGAAAACACCACAACACCATCTTCACCTGAACTCTGGACAAATTCTTCCATTTCCTGCAGACATGAATTCTTTCCATTAAAAAGGTGCAGCATTTGGGAGGATAAAGTGAAAAGCAGTGTGAGAGAAATTGTTAGCTTGTGTTGTGGCTTGTGTCTAGATGTCCCCAGAGCTTCATGCACTCATAGGTTGGACTTATCAAAGTTATTATCGGCCTAGGTTGTGCGCTGCTGTGATTACATGTGTGATACTGAGAATATAAAAGTCCCTCTCTGGGTGTTGGTGGAACTGCCAAAAGAAATGCAGCCAGGGAAGCATATAAAGGGATAGAAAAAAGACAGGCTGCTGCTGCAGCTACTGTTTGGTGGTTTCTGCTGCTGCTTTTGCTTGCTTCCTGCTCTCTTCTGCACTCCTTGGAGTGTTTCTCCTCTGTGATGCTGTTTTGCAAAACCGCCCTACCCCAGGGCCCTCCCATGAT